TTTTGCAATGGTTCCTGCATGCTTCCCTTGCAAATCAGAAAAGTTTTTGCAAGGGTCTGTGCTGGCTTGGTTTAAAATGTGTTGGTGTAAAATGTATGGGTTTAAAATGTGTTGGTTTAGCATGTGTTTTAGACTCCAAACTCTCTCCCTCCCCCATTGTCTCCTCTCTCTCTGTCTTCCTCCTTTTCTGCCCTTTTTTAAACCGAAGTTATCTTAGGTTAAAAAAAATTCTTCCCCCTAGTGGTAGAGGACAGATTAACCAGTTTTGCATTAGTTCCTATGGGAACAAATGCTTTGATTTACAAACTATGCCTTGACATGAGAACAAAAAAAGCCAGAATGGATTAATTGGGTTTCAATGCATTCCTATGGGAAATGCTGCTTTGACTTACAAACGTTTTGACTTACAAACACCATTCCATTACGGATTAAGTTCGTAAGTCAAGGCACCACTGTAGTTCAGTCACTTGAAGTCAGAGATGGGAGTCTGAAGTAGGAGTTAGTCTGTGGTAGTTAGAGAGTGTGGCAGAGTTAGGAGTTAAAGGAGACAGTTAAGAGTGTGGAACGTATAGAGAGCTAAGAGATTTAAGAGTGAAAGAAGTTACTAATCTAATGAATACATTAAAGTCTGCAAAGAACCTGTTTAAGCAAACTGTAATCAATAAACCTGTGTTGTTGGTGTTGACAAAGGTCAGCTGGTGGCAGCAGAAAGGAGAGAATGTGTTGTAGGCGTCAGGCTAGTGAAACAACCTGGGGACACGTGAGGGGCACGTCAGAATTGGTGTCAGCTGGTGGGAGACATAGCCTGAGCTCTTTGTTTTGTGAAACAAGCAGGGGCCAGATGGAAAACGTCATACTGTCATAATGTAAATTTGCTCCTATGTTTCAGGGTCGAGACCTCGACTTTAAAATTCAAGAGTACAAAGAAGCTGGCAAAGTATTTCCTGAAAGCCAAATAGTCGAGTGGTTTATACAGTTGTTACTTGGAGTCAGCTACATGCATGAAAGGTACAAAGGTGGGATTTGACATGGTTGTAAACCTGAGTTCATTTTTTCTTTCTTGCCACTTAAGTGAAATTAAAAAAAAATTCTGAATAGTCCTTTCTCATTTATGCAAAATTCTGCTCAACCGCCTTGATTAATTGTTAATATGTGATTACATTGCAATTCCCCTTTTCAAAGAAAGTGCTTTCCAAAGTTTGACCTTTCAAAATTCTCTACAAAGAAAGTAAAAGTATTTCTGCAAAGATGATCATGATACATAGAAGAAAATGGTGATTAAAAAAAATGTTTTCTAAGATTCTAGTAACTGGATTATGAAAAAAGCTACATCAATTTTTCAAATGAGAAGAGAAAAAAAACCAAGCATCCCATTAGAGTGTTGGAATGTGCTATTATAACTGGGACTTACTAGGGTCAACCCAAGACATTTTGCTATGCCCCAACAAATTCAGACAAATCAAACTACCCAAAGCCACCAGTGTTATCTTGGTTCATGAAACAGAATACAATAAGCACTCATCCCCAAGCAATTATAATACAATAATAACAAAGTCAGTATTGATTTGCTGCTCTTTTTTTGACACTCAAATCTAGATGCTTAGAGTAGGTCATCGGATTATATATACCCTCACCTTTTGTTCCGAAATTCCCCTCATCACAGCTCATCCAGAGTAGCTAAGAGGCATATGCTGTTTGTGGCTTGTCTCCTTTCATTCAGGGAGAAGCTCACCTCAGTGCACAGCTCTGCTGACTTTAGGCAGCTTAATATCTTTTCATAGCAACAGACCTTTCAACAGCAATTTTATTCTGCTTCAGTTGCTGGCTTGGCTCAGAGAAGCATTTATTTATTTAGTGTAAGCACACAGTGATGAATAAAGGACTCCCATATTTTCCTGATAAAATAAATATTCTGACCTCTGAGTTCTGGTTGCTAGTTAGAAGATAATGGATAGGTTCTGAAACATAAGGTATACAGTGGACCCTCGACTTACAGACGGCTCGACTTACAGACTTTTCGAGTTACAGACTTCTCTGGCTGCAAAATTTAGGTTCGACTTGCAGGCAGAGAATCGACCTACAGACCAGAAAAAACCAAAATGGAACAAAAACGACCGGTTACGGGATTAATCGGTTTTCAATGCATTGTAGGTCAATGGAGACTCGACCTACAGACTTTTCGACCTGCAGCCACCATTCCAATATGGATTAATTCTGTAAGTAGAGGGTCCACTGTATATGTGGTGCTTAGGAGGGGAACAAACAAGTAAGTATAATGAAAAAGGAAGAGGCTGTTATGCAAGGTAAGAATAAAAGGTAAATAATGTGTTGTGAAAGAAGAAGCACCACGTGTGACTCTGTGGATATATTGGTGTTCCTGTGGATATATCAGCTATGGCTTACTTACTGGTAAATTGATTTAAAATTGGTTATACTGTACTCACTTCCATGTTTAGCCAAAAGATAAATTAATTTTAAAAAGAAGTTTTTTAATCAGAAAAAAATCACGTTAAGTCCAAGATTAAATGTGGCTCTTCAAGTGCTCCTTCATACATATGGTTGTACAGCACACTTGCATGTTGCTTCAGAACATTCTAGAACTTAAAAGAAAGACCACCAGTCTCCTTCCCCTTCCAGAACACATGTATTGGTGCACAAAACCCCAACCCTCTCAGTTCCTTTTAGCCGCCACCAGTGGGAGCTTCTAGTTAAGCTCCTGAGCTTGCCATTAGTTTTGCTGCACTTTGCAGTTCCTTCTTTTCTCCTGAAAGAAAGTAGGATCATTTATTTTCTCTGTCTTAAGGTAGGACTGTCTTTATTTTTTCTACCATTCCCCCCTCACCCCACTAACCCTTTTATGGCCCC